CCTGCTGTGAAATATGTAAATGGCATTTCCCTGATACAGATGATGAAACTGGGGAATAGAGAGGTGAAGCACACACAACAAATCTGTAGCAGAGGTAGGAAGTTGGCACTTGAACCTAGGAGTCTTGGCTCCTAAGCTTCCTCAGTTATTAGGAATTGATTCCTTTTTTCCAAAAAAAAAAGGAATCAAGTCCAAGATGACAAAAGAGACCATATCATCCCCCGTGCTAGTAATCCTTTTATATCTGCATGGATCCATTTTATGGAGCAACTCCCTAGCTTCTCCAGTCTGTTTGTAAGTCTGTTTGTTTAATTCAGGGCTTCATGCCAGCGGAGGTAACAGTCAGCTGGATCTCAAAGTCTTCAAAAACATTTGGTCTAAGAGTTTTGAAATCATAAAGGGACATGTCAGTTCCTTCCTTTCTTGTTCCTCTGCAGCATTTTGTTCCATTCCACAGAGATGCTTTTTCATAACCACAGGTGATTTTTTTAGACGTATTTGGAAATGTTTTTGGATCTCAAGGTGCAGCGTGACAAAACTGCACTCTGGGCCATTAGCCTGCACTGTACCATCACCAGATTTTAGAAAGCAGCATATAAAATGTCTCAGATGTAGAAGAAGGTGAAGTCATAGGACTAGAATGCATGTAAACACCTATTATTACCCATCCAAAGTGGTCAGCCTTTTATGTCTATAAACCCTGTCCTGTCTGGAAACTTCAAATTCAGACTCGTGAGCTCTAACTTCAAAGGAAAAATGCCAAGAGCTGAACCAGGCCATTCAACAAAGGGAAATCCTAAGCAACAAACTCTTATCTTCATGTCAGAAACAAACACCCAGGCTTGTGCTGTGGTCTGCCCATTTGACTCAGTCTGACATAAATAATTTTGTAAACACAGGGCTGGAAGTAGGGGAAGCAAAGGAGGGAAGAGAGTTTGTATTTGCTTGCTGTGTCCTGGCTCAAAATAACAAAGTGGGTGGAAATGAGCACTTGGAAGTGGCCATCACAGGCAAAAGGGAAGAAGAGTCTTATTTACTGACCTATAATAACACCGTATATTTCTGTAACCCCAGTTCATTCTAAGGATCTTGAAGTCCAACTATGGATATAGCGTGCGCAACAGGTCTGCTCAATACCTGCAGTGCCCACCGACTACAGTTGTGGTCAGAGATGCTCAGCACCTCTGAAACACAAGCTCACGGTTCAACAGTACTCAGTATAGAGCTCCCTGAGGTGAAGGTGACAACTGATCTGCTGTGGCACCCAATACCCCTGCTTCAGCCTATCTAAAGGAGGTGCTGGGCTGTCAGCCTGTGTAGGGGCTGAAACGGGAACCAGCATACAGCAGCAAGCCACTTAGAGCTAGGCAAGCTGCTAGGAAGCCTGCAAGATGGGAGGATAGAGAGATACTGAGTTCCCCTCTGATCCTGTCACTAGTTCCTATTATTTTCATGCATATCATCATGCTCTCTCTACCACCAATCCTCCACATCACTAAGTTACTTCCTGAAACTAGCACTGGCTTCTGACAGTGCGAAGAAGAGATCAAATGGAACATTTTCTGAAGAAACTGAAGTCAAATGTGTCTAGTGGATTCTCCAAGGAAATGCAGATTCCAGCACAACTTTAAAGTACCCCTAAGTGCTTTATTCACGCTTCTGAAATATTTCCTAGACCCAATCTCTTCATATTTTATTTCCTTATTTTAAAGCACAAGATAGTATGCATTAGTGCTGCCAACATCAGACACGGTGACAAGGTGTTCCAAAGCAATGTTACAAGAAGCAGATATTGTTAAAATAATGTATGTGCATGCTTAATATCAGTCATTATCCAACATACTATTATGGGCTGCATAAAACTTAACAAGGAGCTGTGCTTAGAAATTACATTTTAATGGTAAGTCTTATTCCAATGTCTAGTTTGTGAGCTCTGCGCTTTCTTACTTCAGTCTCCTGTAGCGTTGTTCAAAAGCAAACAAATCAGAGCCTAGCTGGAGACTACTTAGCTAATGTTCTGCAGTGCCTTCTGGGAAACCTGGGTTCCACAACTTATTTCCCACTAGTGGCTTTAACAGTGACTTCTCTGGGTAACTAATCAGGAAGAACTCAAAAGTCCTCTTCTCCCAGAAGGATGTTCAGAGAGGTGTAAGATGGGGAAGGAGACTGTAGGCTCCAGCAGTGATTCTTAACCAGGGCACTGCACAACCCTAGAGTGCCATTAGATCCTTTTAAGGTTGCTGTAGGGTACCATGCAATATTAGCACCACCAAGTATGCAAACACCTGCACATGATTCAGAAGATAAACCCAGAGATTTCAAATAGGAATCCCTAGTGTCAAGAGACCTGCTGTGGTCTTTCTGAGTTCTTTGCAACAGAAGAATTGCTCAACTATTTTCCCCAGTTAAAAAAACAAGTGAAATTAGTTTTTGAAATGAGGTGCCACTAAATTCATAAAAAGTTGTGGATGGTACCTTGAGTCTGAAAAGGTTGAGAACCAGTGCCATAGAGACGTGTACATTCAAGCAATGGACACTCACAAAAGGCAAAGTTGAGCACATGTATTCAGACAGACTTTGCTACATGATTAGGCCTTCATGTGCAAATGTTCTGGCCATATTTTTGCCCTGGTTAAGGGGTAGTGATCTTAAAGTAGCTCTGGGCTGTTCTGGGCATCCACATGCAAGTCACCACTCTGATGTACTATGCAGTACTATTTCCCAGTTCTCTCAATCAGAGCCATCCCTAGAGGTGTGTGGGGCCCGGGGCATATCAACCTGTGCGGGGCCGGGGGGTGGGGGTGGCACCTGCCTGCAGAAGCTGATGGTGGTGGCAGGGCAGTGGGGGTGGTGACCACCGGTATAAGCCACCAGCAGTGGCAGCGGTGGGCCTATTTGGCACTGTCTGCGGGGCCCCCGAAGTGCGGGGCCTGGGACAGTCTCCCTGATTTGCCCCACACCAGGGACGGCCCTGCTCTTAGTGCTATCTGGTAGGAGGTGATACCTTGCTTCCCCAATTACAGGGCAGCATCCTCCTTGCCCATTCCTCTGAGCCCTAGAACAACATTTCCCAACCCGTGGATTGCAGCCCAGAAGTGGGTCACAAGAATATATGAAAGGGTTGTGAATAAACTTTAAGAATGGATCAAGGCTTTTTGGGTAGATGTGATATCTTTTATCAGACCAACTAATAAAAGGTATCACATTTACCCAAAGAACCTTGCTTGCCTATGTCCTTAGACCAACATGGCTACAACCAACAATCCTGCAAGATCAACAAACTTTAAAAATGGATTCTCCTTTAAAGGAGAAAAACTTGGGAAACTTTAAAAATGGACTCTCCTTTAAAGGAGAAAAACTTGGGGAACCGTGGGTTTTCCCTGGCAGGCTGGCAGAGTTCCAGTCTGCAAGGGGCTGCTTGGGGCTGTTTGGAGCCTCTCATGACCCCCAATCCCCCCACCCTACATACCCACCCCCTGCCCCACACACTGGGGGGGCTGGGGCCTGGGGATGATGGGTTCTGGGTTGGGACTGGCCATCAATGTTTACAAATGGGTCCTGGTACAAAAAAGGTTAAGTACCACTGCCCTAGAAAGCCATACAAATGCGGCTGCAAGAGGATCAGACTAGTAGCTGTTGCACAGCTTCCAGTCTCGCCTCAGCATTCTGCAGATTCCACATCTGTACCTCTCCCCTGGGAGTTGTGAATGTCTAATTTGGGGGAGAATTTATGTCCTGTCATTCTGACAAATTTGCCTTAATAAAATTTCTTTCTCCTTTTACTTGGCAACTACATGTTCCTTGAGAAAATGATAGCTTTAATGTCTCAGGGAATGACAAATGTCTGCACCATCTCTCTCTCTTGCCGTCTCTCCCGCCTCCCCCCTTAATATTTATCCTGGTTTCTTTGCCCTCAGCCCTCCTCCATCCTCCCTCCTAGACTGTTTTTAAGATTCAACATAAAGACAGCAGATAAACAGATTATTCCATTATGCTTTTAACTGCAGGGCAAGGGAGACGAGGATGTTTTAAATGGGATGATGAGACAAGGAACAAGGTTTCTGTGACAGGGAACATCACTTGAGTGCCAGGATTTTGGAGTCCTTGGTTCAAGTCCCTGCTGTGCCACAGACTGTGTGTCTACAGCCCTAGAGAGCTCACTTTGGCCCGGATACCCAAGTGCCTGAGGTACTGCCCCACCCTTGGTTTTGCATTGCCTAACTCAGAGATGCCCTGGCACCCAGTTGAATTTTCAGACCCAAATGAGGGTCCAGCCTCCCTACAAAACGCACAGGCAGATTCCAGATCCTAAGAGAGGTACTTTCAGGTGCAAGTTGAAAGGAGACAGCTGCAGTACTGAAGCAGCTGACCTGCTGACAGGCCAGAGATAGGTGGTACTTTCCTCTGCTCTGGATCCATAATGCTTTCCTGGCATTAGGCACCCAAGCCCAACCAGCCACTTGGGTAGCCCAGACCTAGAGGCTGATACTCTTTCTCCGTCTCCTCCTTGTGCTGTTTTACACTCACCCTAAGCTTCCTCGTGCGACAGCTGGCTTTTGTGTAGGTGTTCCACTATGCCTTTACCTTCTGGTGCAGGTACAAGGTGTTAGGTGCTCTGAACACACCTGAGGCATCACAGGCCAGGAAGTCATTCCCCTACCTCATTAGACAGCCCTGCTTTGAGATCTCTGGGACTCAGGCTTGAGGTAAAGCTCTAGCAGATCATTACTAGTAGGCCAGTGCTTAGGTGGCTGTGGGAACTAAGGTGCCTGGGCAACTCTGGGGCATAAAGAATCAGGTGGCAGCTTTGAAAATGTTCAAAGGGTGACCATGTCCTATCCCTATGCTGATAGGGAAGCTGCATGGTGTTCTGTGTAATATATAGGGTGCTGGCTGATTTCTTTACAGTGCCGCCTTTTGCTGAAAGGAGAGTCAGAAATATCACATGTGTGCAGTCATGACACACCAAGGGGTGCCTCACCTCCACAGAACACAAACCCTAATACTGTTACAGGTATTGAGAGACCCTTGTGTTTGCTCCTGGGCCAAATGGGCATGTTTCTGGACCAGAACACCCTTTTCCTGATTCCTGACGATGATAGCAAGGCCAACATAGCTGCCAAATTTGCACAGCAGTTAAGAGCAAGCAGTGCATGTGAATTTGCCAAGTGCTTTGTGAGATGCCAGTTTCTTACCTCCTGCTTTGGTGCAGGCGCCCAGGAGGTTGACCACGTTGAGGTGGTGTCCTATGTGGATGAGGATCTTCAGTTCCGACATTAAAGCTTTGCACTCATTAGTAGTTGCACATTCTGCTTAAGATAAACAGGACAAGGCCATCTTTCCACAACAGGATATTTTTAAGACACAGAAAATCCTGTTTACACTTGAAAACCAAACCCACCCAGGTTTCTTGTGGTATCTCTGCCTTTCAGCCTTCTAAATGGATAAGAACTCATCCGTCTTGCTGTCTCTTGACCCGTATGAAACAGAGTAATGCTTTGCCCTTTAGAACTCTCTTCCTTTCTTTTTCGTGACTTACAAAGTATTAATGTCCTGCAGTAGAACTTCACTGGTTCATGTACATACAGGGGATCCTTTGTGAAGGACTGAATATTGCCAATATAACGAATGAACAGATATGCCCCAAATGCAAGGATTAATGCATTAAAGCTGCATGAATAGTCATGTAGGAAATAATTTCTTGCCCTAAACTTTTGCCTCTTTTGGAAGAGTTGTAGAATTGTCCCCCAAATAGATGTCTGATCACTTTTGCAGTCTCAGGTCTTGTAAACTGCTCTGAGTCCCAGGTGCCTTCAGTTAACATCATTAATAACTTTATTGACTTCACTAGATCTACCACTGATCTATAATGATGCGAGTCCCATGCCTTATCATACCTAAATTGAACATGTTCTGAAAATCTTCACAATTATCTGTGCTTATATGCTGCCTGCTACTCAGAAGCCAACATTAATGTGCTTTATGAAAGTGAGGTAGATGGCAAAACCAATTCAACACAGTCTATGTAATCCAGGCCCTTTTATTCCTTGAATGAACTGTCTCACACCAGAGACTTTCATCTGGTTCCTCTGGGAGTAAGGTGGAAGATTAGATGGAGGTACTACCAAGGCACTTATTGAACAGTGAGGGGGTGGGAAGGCAACCAGGGAGGCACAGGGTGGAGACAGGTGTGATTAAGTACTGTGGGTGCTGCAGGAGTTGGAGGGAGGGAGTAGGGGAGCTCTGGATTGATCAGGAGCTTCTGGGAACTTTCCAGGGCAGGTTTTGGAAAAGGGCATGGCATGGAAAAACCAGCAGCATAGGGAAGAGGGATATGAAGACCCTATTGGACAGCTGCATAGGAGGAAGAGCAGGTCCAGAAGAGGTGCATAAAGGTGGTGCTGGCAAGCAGAGAGAGTTTGGTACTGGGGGAAGTGGCAGCGAGGGGAGTAGCAGAAGAGGCAGCGGGCAACAAAACCCAAGTGCTGTGCTCTGCGAGCACATCCTGGATTTTGGAGTGGCAGGGGTTAATACCATCACTCAGCAACATAGCAGTGTGGGCCAGGGAGTGGAGACCCATCCAACAAAAATCAGTAGTCTACTCGGGGGGAAGGGTGTGGAAAACATGCAAACAGTTGAAAAACCCAAACCCAAGCAACCAGCAAGGCATAGGAGGACTTTATTCATAAGCTGTCTGTAGAGGCTTTGTATGTAAATGCCATTTGGAAGCATCTTAGGCTTCAAGTTCCCTTTCTCCCCACTGCTGGCTGGTAAAAGCATTCCCTCATTTCAGTAATTGCCAGAGAGTTGTCCCTAATTCACTCCCTTGGCACTGCTCTTTTCAACTGCATGAACCTTTCTGCATCTGGAAGGGCTAGGATCGAGGGTTTAGATCCAATTTCAGACCATCGTAATGCAATTACATTCTGTAATCTGTTTCCCTCCTAACCCCACAGACCTGGAGGCTGCTGTTTTTGTCCACTAGGAATACAAGGCTTAATCAGCAGCACAGTGTGGAGCCCACTTGTCATTTCCTACACGTTAGCATCCACCATACAGCAGCTAATTGCTCCCATATGGCAAGCTCGCTCCCTTCTGAATGCAATGAATGAACGAGAAGTGGAAGGGGGTTGCCTTAGAGCTGAGAACTAGAAACCTCATTGCCCACGTGGTCCCAACAGAGTCTCCTGAGAGTCTCAGAGAGAAATGTACCTTTAAGCATTTTAACGGCAACTGTTTTGCAGGTTGAAGATTTATCTATGCCAAAAGCAGACGCCTCCACCACTTTCCCAAAAGCACCGTGACCCAGTGTTTTACCTAGAGAAGCAAAGAGTCAAGAATGAGCCAGGGGGGACTTATGACAGTCTGCATCAGATAAGAGAGAAACATGCTTTCTCAGCTATGCAAGAAATACAAGACACTGGAGCCTAGGTGCAGCACGGCCTGACAGTTCATAGAAGCCTGTATCACATACTTTCCATATATGTATATGCAGAATATAGTTTATATACATATAATTTCAGTGTGAGGCAGTATGTGATAGGATAGATAAAACAGCATTAAACTGGAGTTCGAGCTGAATGCACATTAGGGACTGCAGTGTAAAAACATTACATTTAATTATCTGAACACCAAGCTTTCTAAACTTGGGAAATTCACAGTTCCCTGCATACAAGCACCTTAGTTATCCTTTCCTCGTGACCCACAGTCCCTACAAGCCCACACCTAACCAGCGCAACATTCCTGCCTGACCCACAGTCTCTACATGCCCCCTCCTCTTTATTCTGTAATTCCCCTGTTTCTTCACCTCCCATACTTTCCCTGTTGACATTTTTTTTCAGTTGGTCTTTATTACCTATTGAACAGTGTTTCTGGAGTGAATAGTCATTTTTGCCCTTTTTCTTCATAATTGGAAGTTGCACAGTGTTCTTGTACAAGGACTTACATGGAGAACCGCCCTCTTTCAGACCTGCTTCCATTTCCATTGTTCTCTGTGCAAGTGATGTAAGATATCCAAATGGTGTCCCTGGAAGGTACTGGGAGCAGTCTTCCTTCCATGAGGATGCTATGCCTTCACTTCTTTTGGGAGGTGGTAGCCATTTCAAAAGATGGCTCTTCTAAATACCCCTTCAGCATCCCTCCCAATGAGACCCACTGTCCAAAGATGAAGGTGTACTGGCACTAGGGCTAATTGGCTATGCTACACCTCCACAGAAATTCTGGACCATAGGATATTTCTGTTCTTTATATGATTGATGCCTATTTCTCTCCCCCAGCCGCAACCTGTCTCTTGGGAACTCCCATTTACTGCTGTCGTATGGGAGCCGATCACATTGCTCGTCAAGAGGCATTTCCTCTGGATCCATTATAATGGACAGGTATCCTGTTTTAATATCTGTGGCATCAGGCTGCAAATGGGGAAAATGAGTCAAAGTATTTGCTGTGCAGCTCTAACTTGAGAGAGAAGCATGATATAGTAGAATGAACACAGGCCTGGGAACCAGCACCCCCTGCATTCTGATCCTGGCCCCAACACCCATTTCCATCTGTGGTGCTTGGACCTATACTTTTGATATCCTGCCTTAAGTTGCACATATGAAGCCTGGGGAAAAAGAAAACTTACACATGTGTATCTTTTGGGGGTGATGAGAGAATTGAATTAGTGAATGTTTGAAAGCACTTTGATGATGTAAAGCCCCTGCTATTATCATTCTCAACCTGCACTCCTTTAAAGAATTCAGCACTGCTTCTAGAAAATCCTTCAGATTAGAAATGCCCTTTAAGGGATGCTCATCAAGGCATCCTTTGTTTTATGAATTAGAAATATGTTTAAATGGCTTTTAAATTCTGGGACAACTTGGAGCCTCAGTCTCTACACCCCTATACCTCATATTGCCATATATTCTAATACACAATGAATGAAAACCTCATGACACTGTGCATAGAATTATCATCTGGTGTCACCACCTGCCCTCTTTGAGCAAGTGTAAAAGATGACATAAGATTCAGAGGGTCTGGCACCTCTGCTGTCCTGGCAACACACTGGGAACACATGAACCTTATGGGTTCACATTTATAAGAGGAGTAGGAATTAGTCATTCAAGTTACAGGAGATTAACATTAGGACTGTGGTTTGGGCTGTGGCCAGGCTAGAGTCCTAGTCTCTCAGATCATATTTATTGTTTGTATAAGAAAGAACAAATCTAAATTTGATTTAATTTATCAAATATTCTTCAGAACTAGTCAAGGACCTACCCTACTCTTTGGAGTCTCATGAAAAGAGGCCAAGGAGTAATGAAGCATGAAAACAAGATGAACTTTGTGGTTGGGGCCCATCTCTAGAGCAAACAAACAGATTCTAACATCTTTAAAGCAGCATTCCCTCCACTGCCTATGTTTTAGGGAAAACCTTATTAGAGGTGCGGTGAAACCAGAACTTCATTTTAGGGCCTTTAGATTGAAAGCCTGTCTCCGAACCTGCTTTAATGCTCTTGGGATGAATTTGAATCCAAAGGTGGAAGCAACCTGCTTTTCCTGATCTCACTGGATGCCGAGCAAGAGGGTAAAATTCTTATAAGCAGAACTAATCTCCTGAGATTACAAGTAATTAATCAACAGAAATCTTTGCCTGAAATTTTACAAGAACAGCTCATACAGTTTTTCACCATCTGTCCCCAACCCTAGTGCCAGCACGGCCTCAGTTCTGAACTCTGAGGCTTGGCTTGAATTGGAGTTGAGCTTGGAGGCCAATTGTGTCCCATTTCCACAATATGAAAGACCTCTTACTTTTCTAAGTTTCCGAATGAAAAGGGTCAGAAGCAGCCAAAAGAGAGTAGCTGCTAGACCAGTGCAGACCAAAATGATAACTTCAATATTGGATTTCTCTTCAGAACCTGGAAGTTAAACATAAGAACAAATTCTGAATTAATTGCACTGATAAAATAATTGCAATTCCACAAAGCGTGCTTTATTTCACAAAAGAGGTAGACATGAAATCCATGAACTGTGCTGGTGTCTTTTTATTCACCAGCAGTAGGCAGTACTTAGTATATCCCCATAGGTAACCATGGATCAAATATGGGGAACAATATGTGAATAGGCTTATGGTCAAAAGGTATTATTTTACAGTATCAATGCCAAGTGCTCAAGGCATTAAGTGAGGGGTTCTGAACATGGAAATCATAAACAGAGGCCAGGAGGTTCCAGCCATCCTGCTCTTCCTAGTTGGCTGAATGAGAGATGGTCCCAGCTAGATCCTGGCTAAATAGGAGGGAAACTTAAAGAAATCTCAGTATACAAAGGTTGAGAACCTATGCATTACACAACTCCTTGCATGAAGACCACACTGAGTCTTGGGCAGGGTCCTCATCAAGGTGTTCTAGACATAAAGCGCTAATGAGATGCTTCAGGCTCTTTATCATCATGGGACTATAAGCTTCCAGGACCAAAAAGAGGTTCAATTTAATTTTAAAGTTTTACTTTTAACCAAACCTGTTGTGCATGTGTGTGTGTGTTTATTATTTTAAAATGTATTCCCCAACTCTTGAAACAATTCTTGCCTTGGGATAGTAGAAGGATATCATTCAAACTATGCCCGTATCACCAAACTTGTGCATTCGTTTGCAGCCTCACCTTCTATTTTAATGAATGCCATTGTACTGTCACGGCCCATTTCATTAGAAACCCTGCACTCGTAGAGGCCTTCATCATCTTTTTTCACTCGCTCAATGATCAGGGTATTATTTTCCATGGAAATTCCTGCATTGGGGGATAGTTTCATTTCAGTACATAAGGTATTTGTAATACATAATTTCTAAATGGAATTCTGTTATAAATGACTTCCCAGGTCCCTGCAGACCTGGTACAGTACTGCTGGTAGCAACCAGAAGACAATTTTGAACAGTGTATATATTACATGTGCTTTTGTTTATGCAGGTATGATGCAAACCCATTCCTTGCCATGTACTCTCAACTCATTTGTCATGCAAATTTCATGGAGATCACTTAACAGCCTCTGTATAACAAATATATTTATTCATTTATTTTAAATGTGAAGCCTGAGACTGCTCTCATGGAAGTCAGTGGGGAATATCTAATCAACAGCAGTGCGGGGCAAGACTGGGCTCTTTTTACACCTGCATAACTCACAGCAAGATTTGATCCCAACCCCAAACTTAACATGATATGAGGGAAAGGTCATTAAAATGTATTCATCACAGCTCTGTGATTAGACAAAAAGGCTTTGAAAACGACATTGGAAAAGGCACAGCAAGAAGGGAATTTTTTTGAGTGATCTGAGGTGCTACAACCAGTGTATTAAATTGGATGCAGCAAAGGAAGCCTGAGGAAAAATATAAGAGAAACAGCAAAGTTTATGAACTGTGGAACAGCCTCCAAAAAGAAGCAATGGAAGCCCCATCATCTTGGGTAATTAAAATGGGGTGTCTGGGCAAAGCCCTGAAGTACCAACTGTCTAAAACCATCCTGCATTCACAGGGAGGAGAGATTACCTAGTTGTGACCTACCAGCCACTTCCAGTTTTCATTTCTCTGACTCTGTAAATGGGATTCCAAGCTAACCGGCTTGCTAAGAAGATGCAATTAGCAGAGCAAGGGAATTATGCTGGGCCTTGAATCCAAAGGGGTGTGTGCAATGTGTTCTGCCCATGAATCCTGTTGTTGTTAACAAGAGCTGTACACATAACTCGCCATGCACAGTACTGAAATATTTACCCTGAGGTGTTTTTTTCAGATATTTTATTTATGTTTCCATTGGTTGGATGAGTTACATGCTTGTCCCTCTAGAATTATTTATGAAATTTCAGTAGCTGTAAAGAGTTTCTGCCTGGAACAGTCTGATCTGAATTATGGATGATCCTAGATTTCCTTCCTACCCAAGATGCAAAATTAAAGTCAGAGGACTGGCTACTGATACCAGCTTCTCCGTGACATGAAGGAAAACTCAGGGTAGAGACACTTGGAAAGACTTCCAAGCTCAGACAAGGGAGTCCATGCTGTCTTGCAGCAGCCCTGTGCTGCTGTGCACTGTTTGATCTAACAGCCACTCCTCTGGACTGTTAGTCTGAGGGAAATAAAGAAACACAGTAATTATACTGGACAGCAGACTAAGGGTCTGACTTTTAGAGAAGAGATCAGCACTGACTCCAGCAGACTCTGGATCATGCCCTAAACTCTTTAGCAAATGGATCCCCCTGTCCTGCTCACCTTAGTACACACAAGCATTTATCTTGGGTAGCAAGGGGTTCAGCATCTTGCAAGAGCCAATTTTGTATATGTTGAGAAAGCACATAGCCAATGCTGTGGGCACAATCAGTGGCACCGGAGAAATATAAATCAGGCCCTGGCTGCCAGTCTGGGCCCTTAAAATCCCATATGCAGACCACATCAGCAGTCTGTAAAGGTCTTCCACCTGCTGGGACCTTTCTATGGTTATTTGCATCATTGTAAATGACTGCCCAAAGTACCGGGCAGTGGAAAATTGGGCCAAAAGTGTGTTGCAAACCTGTGACTCCTTTCTTATCACCACCATGTCTCTTTTCTCACATCCAGCACTGCAGCATTCCCCAGGCTCACCTGAAGCAGGTGAAATGAGATAGCCATTTTTCCACCACGTAATGTGAGGTGTCGGGGTTCCATTTGCTTTGCACTCCAGCACGATCTTGCCGCTGATGTTAACCTCCAGGTCCGTGAAGTTTTGAATAATATATGGCACGGCCTTTGCTGCATTCACAAAGGAAAACAATTCACAGTCAGCGTTAGGAATGCCTCTTTTACAGATCTACCTAAGCATCTCCAAATAAAGGCCTTGTCTTAGCAGCCTGGAGGCAGCAAAGGTTTGCTGTTGTTGGGGGAACAGCACTTGGCTTAAGTTTGATACAGAGCTGAATCATAAGCAAACAGAGTGGGCAGAGCAAATATAGAAGGAGCGTGAGGGAAGTAGGAAAATGGAGAAATTCTAAGGTTTTTCTGTTGCCCTGCACCTTGATATGTATGCTTGTCCCCTTGTCATGTATGCTCCTGCAAAGCTCAGGATGGCAAGGTTTCCTCAGCAGACCTGGTGTGAATGATTAGCAAAGGGCAGAACAAATGTGAATACACCTCAGATTATATCATTTAAAAAACCCAACCAATCAACTAACCAAAAAATCCAGTTCAAAATGTGCAGGGCAGTCAAGGAAGAGGAAAAGCTGTGTGCATAGTATGAAAGGGATCCTGAAAGATCCACATGGCTAATTTTACATAGAGAAAGTTTTTAGTGGCATTTCACATAGCATGTTTTCAAGGAGAATTTCTCCTCGGGCACTAGAGGCCAACGACAGAAACTAAGTAATAACTCACAGAAGGCACATTCAAAATTTGAGTTCTTTCATACATGTACTAACAGCTTAGATGCATTTTTTTCCCTTAGCCACTGTGTGTAGGTGTCTGTGTAGGTGGAAAACTGATTAAGTGAATAAAAATATCTGCAAGGGGAAAAGCAAGTGAATCGTTTGGATGCAGTGTGCAGAAAAGGGCCCAGTGGGTCAATGTCTAGCTGTTCTGGAAACTAGTTATGAAACTAGTTATCAGTACAAGGCCAGAACAGGCATGAGGTCTGGGTATAATAGGAGGAGTTGGACTCTGCCTTACGTCTTTGGAAACAGAGAGAATTAACTGACTTAATGTCACCACCCACACACCTAACAAAACCATGGCAGCTACAGCTACAGTTTGGGTGGCAATTTTCTGTGTGAGTGGGTAGGTGGGATCACAATAATTTTTCTGTCTGCCCTGATCAGGGCCACTGCACCGGAGCAATGTTAGCAACTACTTCATATAAACACAATTGTGATCAAAACAGAGTGGACTGGCCCTAGCCTCGGCAGCAGAGAGAAGAATCAAGTCCTTTGTATTTCAATATTCAGAGGTACCGGGGATGCTGGGCCCTGCAATAGTACTGATATAAGATTAAAAGGGAAGAAACAGGTTCTTGGAGTCCAGGTACAGATAAAATTGCTTTTGCTCTAAGCTGTCCACTGATCACAGCATGTACATAGGAAATGCCATTAGATTATATGTTCCTGCAAATGTATTTAACTAGTCCAAAGCTAAATAACATTACACACAACCATGGCAGTCTCCTGGGATGTAATCTCATTAGATGTTTTACTTGCAGAACTGGGGTGGGCCATCTTAAGGGATATGCTGGAGTGTTGTTGGTAATATAGCCAGAGGGGCTATGTCCTTTGAGTCAGCACTAAACCAGGGTCCCAGTAGGGTGTCAGGAGCATAAAATGTTACTGGAATTCCTTCCTTTCTGCATAGGATGCTTAAGGTCCCCTGACACTTTTTACAGACCAGGGGTATCTGAAACCATTACAGGCTACACTTATAAAAATGTTTCAATGTTCTCAACTGCTTATGTGACTGAAAGCTAAATACTGAGCATCTACATGCATATTAGGACTGATCTGGGAAGTGCTGAGCACCCACCACATCCAAGGACATCAGTGGGAGTGATATTCAGCACCTCTGCTTATAGCACCTTTACATCACCTTTACCTTTGTCCATTGGCAAAACCTACCTTTGACAACAAGCTGGGTAGTTTGCTCCAGCCTGTCAGTGGAATTATGCTGATTCTGAGCTTGGCACTTGTACAACCCGGCATGCTCTTGTGTGATGTTAGTAATGACCAGCATCAAGGAGATGGAGTAGTTGTCAATGCTCTTATTTCTAAAGGCACTGGGGACAACCTCTGAGGAGGGGTAATACCAGTCCAGGTGGTTGTAGATGTACTTGGAGGCTTTGCAAAGCAGTTGAATGTCACTTCCCACAATGGCAGTGATCTGGGGCTCTGTCTGCAGACCAAATGGCACATCTAGGTGGAAGAGAAAAAGCAGGTTAGAACTAAAGCACAATGAAAAATATATTTGGCTGCTCTTCTGTAACCCGATGGCCAAATTTCCAAGACCTTCATCATGGAATGGGCTGTTAAAGAGTGCTCTCAGAAAGCCATGTGTGAACAACTATTTGTGCTTGCAAACTGGATAACTCTACATGCACTACTTGCCACTATACCTTAAGCCAGTGGTTCTCAACTCTTTTACACTCTGGGCACCCCTTAGAAATGTCAGCTTTTAGCTTTTGAAACTTTTTTGACTATGGAAAAATAATAGGGTAATTCTTCTGTTGCAAACAGCTTCAAAAGACTGCAACAGAATGTTTTTGACACTATGGATTCCTATTTGAAATCTTTATCTTACAAATCACATGTTGATGCTTACACACCTAGCAGTGCTAATACTTCATGGCACTCTTTGGTTTGCCACCATTAAACACCTAGCAGTGCTAATACTTCATGGCATCCCAGGGTGCTATGGCAAGTTGGTTGAGAATTGCTGCCATAAGCCGTTCGTCCATGAATGTTTTTATGAATAAGCTACCAGTAAGTAATTGAAAGCTATCTGTAGAATTTGTTAATAGGCTGTGGCTAATGATGCTAACTCAGAATCAAGGGAGACAGATATCCAAACAGACTGATGTGTGTTCATGGGTTGTCTTCCTTCTGTCTGCAACAAAAGCCTTGAGATATTATATAGGAGTAAAGAAACGCCCTCATTTTGTTATTCACAGGTAACATTGCTTTTTTCTACAGTTCTACATTCTCCCAATCTTATTTCTACTATGCCAATATTTGTCTTCCTCACGTCTGTCACAGCGGATATTTATTTGATCACTGAATGGATTAATTGATCCAATGATTTAGAAATCCTAGTTGTCTTAACTTTTAATAGATTCAGATAAAGAAAAAGCAGGAAGCACAAGCCCGTTCCATCTACAAGAGAATCTTAGGGTTCCTATGTTGTTTTTACCAACTCTTTTACAAGGGACCTGGCTGAAGGCAGCCTGGCCTAACAGCTAGGTCATAGGCACCCTGGCCAAAAGACAGAAAGCAGGGTCTGGGGCTGGGTCAAAGAGCAGGAGACGTACCAAAACTAAAGGAAAATCTGGAAGCAGAGTCCACAACACAGTTCAGGGTCCAGTCTGACGGGCAATCCACAGGGCAAAGTCTGAAAACAGCCAAATCAGGGGCAGGAGCCAGGAAATAGATACACAGGGAAATCCAAAGCCAAAGTCCAGAAATAAGCCAAAAACCAGAGTCAGGAACTAGCACTGTTGAGTGGCCTGCAAACCCAGGGTCCCAGCTGGTGCTCAATGGATAGGCAGCGTCCCCAGTAGCCAAGCAGGATGCTCGCTGCTCATGAGCTGAGGCTTACTGCAAGCCTGACTGCCAAGGTACTTGACTCAGGCTGGCCTGCCTGATTGATGTCCCTGACATCTTTCATCCAATCCAAACATCCTTTACCTGATGTGTCTGCGTGAATCGCCCGGAAGTTGAGAGAAATTATGCCTGAGTAATGACCCTCATATCAGATCGGGCCTCAGGCCTCCCACTACCGCCTAAGCCCTCCGAGCATCAGAATGGAAGGAAACGCCATCTCCTTTCCTTCCTTCCATTCTGTGATTTTCAATGATCCACCCGCTCCCCCCCACGAGGACCCGAATTTCATCACTTCTAATAACAAACTCCTTCATCAATACAAATAACAAAGTCCCTATGCCCTGGAGCTGTTTCTGTCTATCCACCAGATCAAGATTTGGGAGCAACAGAGGCAAGCATTTATGAAGAATCCAGTCTGGGTTTTATTCCAGACCCAGCATGTGGCAGATGAGACCTTTGGGAGTATCAGTTTGATGTAGTCCTCTGGCCAGGAGTAATGCTCCATGCTGAGTTTTAATGATTAATTAAAGGCTTTCTGCAAATTAGGATGTAACAGACAGTTCTTTGCGGAAAGACAGCACTCAGGGTAGGAGAAGCAAGTAGTCAGTCACTGCCCGCAGAGTCTGGCAAGTTCCACTTGGGAGCTGAAATGTGGCCAGGAAGACAGGGACAAACACTGCAAACTCTTGCAAAAGTGCAGTGGAAGCTTTTATTGCTCACAAGTGGTCAGGGTGTTGAGAAATACCCACTTTGCCTAAGAACAGAATATGTATTGTGTGTAATACAGAGCCTTGAGGGGGTTCACACATAAGATTTGAATCTCTCTTTTGCAGCTCAGCTAGAGTGAAATCAGTCAGCCTTGCTTCATGGTTTCTAGAGATTGGCACCAGTGCTATTTTATGAAAGATTTGAAAAGAGTCAAGTACCCTCTGGCCACCAGTATTGAAAATGATAGTTTTCTTTCCTTTCTTTTTTATGGAATTCTTTTCCTATTTCATGCACTGTTTTGTTAGGCTCAAGTCTGCTTTCTCTTGCTTACTGTGAGCAGGCCATTGGTTTGATGAGGTGTAAATTGACTTTGGTACTATTTCTATTCTTCACATCTTGTATCCTGTGTTTCCAAAATGTCAGCAGAATGCTTCACTTGATCAGGTGAATAAAAATAATTAGAAAAGGCTGAGGCCAGCACAATTTTCCTCGGTGGGGAGAAACTGGGTCCAGTTAAAACTCCTGTATGGGGCTTTGGTAGCAACTGGTGTGAATCATAGAAAATTAGGGTTACAAGGGACCTTAGGAGGTCATCTAGTGCAACCCCCTACTCAAAGCAGGACCATCCCCAAATAAATCATTCTAGCCAGGGCTTTGTCGAGCTGGGCCTTAAAAACCTTCATGGATAGAGAGGTAACTTGTTCCAGTGTTTACCACACTCCTAGTGAAAAAGTTTTTCCTAATATCCAGCCTAAACTTTCCTTCCTGCAACTTGAGACCATTGCTCCTTGGTTTGCCATCTTCCACTGCTGAGAACAGTCTAGTTCAGGGGCAGGCAAAATGGCGGATCTGGCTGGCAGCTGGACTCCATTTCCCAGCAGCCCCTGCACACATTGCCGTGGCCAGTTTCCATGGAAACCCCAGCAGCAGCAGTGCTGTGACAGTGTGGGATCAGGGTTTCCATGGAGACCGGCCCCAGCAGCACTGGGACAGCGCATGGCTGGGCAGGGAGCTTGCAGTGGCGACTGTGGTCCGGAGTGGGACGGAACCATGATCCACTGCCTGCATGCCCCCTGGCCAGGGCATGCAGGCTACACATCATGGCTGTACCCCAGCTCCAGACCACGCTATCACCACCACAAGCCCTGGAGTAGCTCGCTACCCAGCTGCACGCCCTGCCAGCACGGCCTGGGCCGGTCTCCATGGAAAACCCAGCCCTGAGCTGTCACAGCACTGCTGCTGCTGGGTCTCCATGGAAACTAACTACAGCGATGCAGGTGGGGGCTGCTGGGAAATGGAGTCTGCCATAGGCCAAATTCAGCCCATGGGCTGGACTTTGCCTATCCCTGGTCTAGCTCCATCCTCTTTGGAACCACCCTTCAGATAGTTAAAGGCTGTTATTAAATCCCCTCTCAGCCTTCTCATCTGTAGACTAAATAAGCCCAGCTTCCTCAGCCTCTCCTCAGAAGTCATGTGCCCCAGCCCCCGAACCATTTTCATTGCCCTCTGCTGGACTTTCCAACTTGTCCACATACTTTCTATAGTGTGGGACCAGAACGGGACACAGTACTCCAAATGTGGCCTCAGCAGGGCAGAATAGAGAATAATTGCTTCCCTCAATATGTTGGCAGCACTCCTTCTAATGCAGCCCAGTATGCTGTTAGCTTTCTTTGCAACAATGGCACACTGTTGGCTCATATTAGCTTACTGTCTAATGCAACCCCCAGATCCTTTTCTGCAGAGCTGTTGCCAGCCAGTCAGCCCCTAGTCTGTACCGGTGCATGGGATTGTTCCATCGTAGGTGCAGGACTTTGCACTTGTCCTTGTTGAACCTCCTGAGATTTCTTTTGAACTAATTCTCAAATTTGTCTATGTCACTCTGATTCCTAGCCCTACCCTCCAGCTCATCTGCTACACCCCTCATCTTGGTGTCATCTCTGAACTTGCTTAGCGTGCAATCCATCCCATCTTTCAGATCGTTAATGAAGATATTGAACAAAACCAGACCAGGACCGGCCCCTGGGGCACGTTGATCACAACCCATTGAGCCTGACAATCTAGCCAGTTTTTTATCCACCTTACAGTCCATTCATCTAACCCAGGGGCGGGCAATTATTTCAGGCGGAGGGCCACTTACTGAGTTTTAGCAAGCCATCAAGGGCCTCATGACAGGCAGCCAGGGGCAGATAAATATTAATTTTCTAAATTTTTCAGGGGTCCCGCAGGCCACATTTTGCCCACGCCTGGTCTAACCCATACTTCTTTAGCTTGTGTGCAAGAATGCTGTGGGAGTTCATATCAGAAACCTTGCTAAAGTCAAGGTTTATCACATTCACTGCTCTCCCCACATCCACAGAGCCAGTGATCTCATCATAAAGGCAATCAGGTTGGTCAGGCATGCCTTGCTCTTGGTGAATCCATGCTGACTGTTCCTAATCACTTTCTTCTCCTCCAAGTGCTTAGAAATGGATTTCTTGAGGATCTGCTCTATGATTTTTCCAGGGACTGAGGTGAAGCTGACTGGTCTGTAGTTCCCTGGATTCTCCTTCTTCCATTTCTTAAAGATGGGAACTATATTTGCTATTTCTCAATCATCCGGGACCTCCCCGAATTGCCACGAGTTTTCAAAGATAATGGCCAGCAGCTCTGCAATCACATCAGCCAACTCCCCCAGCACCCTCGGGTGCATTGCATCCAGCTTCTCTTCTGAACTTTTTATGTGCATGTTTTTCTCTCATCTTAACATTCTGTGGAACACAGGACCGGGCTGTTTTTCTTACCCATTCCTTCGACTGACATTTCTTATTTAGCATTTTGAATATTTTTAGCTAGGACTTGAGCTATTTTCTTCCATCTTGTTAGCCTTTCAAGAAGATCTTTATGCTCTG